ATATATATATATATATATATATATATATATATATATATATATATATATATATATATATATATATATATATATATATATATATATATATATATATATATATATATATATATATATATATATATATATATATATATATATATATATATATATATATATATATATATATATATATATATATATATATATATATATATATATATATATATATATATATATATATATATATATATATATATATATATATATATATATATATATATATATATATATATATATATATATATATATATATATATATATATATATATATATATATATATATATATATATATATATATATATATATATATATATATATATATATATATATATATATATATATATATATATATATATATATATATATATATATATATATATATATATATATATATATATATATATATATATATATATATATATATATATATATATATATATATATATATATATATATATATATATATATATATATATATATATATATATATATATATATATATATATATATATATATATATATATATATATATATATATATATATATATATATATATATATATATATATATATATATATATATATATATATATATATATATATATATATATATATATATATATATATATATATATATATATATATATATATATATATATATATATATATATATATATATATATATATATATATATATATATATATATATATATATATATATATATATATATATATATATATATATATATATATATATATATATATATATATATATATATATATATATATATATATATATATATATATATATATATATATATATATATATATATATATATATATATATATATATATATATATATATATATATATATATATATATATATATATATATATATATATATATATATATATATATATATATATATATATATATATATATATATATATATATATATATATATATATATATATATATATATATATATATATATATATATATATATATATATATATATATATATATATATATATATATATATATATATATATATATATATATATATATATATATATATATATATATATATATATATATATATATATATATATATATATATATATATATATATATATATATATATATATATATATATATATATATATATATATATATATATATATATATATATATATATATATATATATATATATATATATATATATATATATATATATATATATATATATATATATATATATATATATATATATATATATATATATATATATATATATATATATATATATATATATATATATATATATATATATATATATATATATATATATATATATATATATATATATATATATATATATATATATATATATATATATATATATATATATATATATATATATATATATATATATATATATATATATATATATATATATATATATATATATATATATATATATATATATATATATATATATATATATATATATATATATATATATATATATATATATATATATATATATATATATATATATATATATATATATATATATATATATATATATATATATATATATATATATATATATATATATATATATATATATATATATATATATATATATATATATATATATATATATATATATATATATATATATATATATATATATATATATATATATATATATATATATATATATATATATATATATATATATATATATATATATATATATATATATATATATATATATATATATATATATATATATATATATATATATATATATATATATATATATATATATATATATATATATATATACATACATACATACATACATACATACACATATATATCCTATATAGGTGATTTGTAGGAGGTATACTTAGGAGTGTATCTTCTGTATTCTAGCCCCTAGAGAAAAACGAGCAGTTAACTCTTGCAGTTTGTGGGTAGCTCCACTGCAAGGGTTAACTTTTTACATTCCTGGAGTTCTTCTTTAAGCTCAGTTTCACTCAAAAGTGGAAATGAGTAGGAAATTCTACTGGCACAGTATGGCAAACTTACCCGTGTTTGTGTTCTTCCAGAGATGACAGCTCTTCTCCAATGCTTTTTCTGCACCTGTTGTATTCCTTCTTCTGGCAGTTGGCTGCCATGTTGGATAGAGTTGCATTATCCCAGCACCCACAGATCCCGAAAGTGTACAAAGAGTGTAAAAACGAGAAAATATTGCTAGAATGGGAAGGAGTTTTTGGCAAAAGAGGCACATAAAGTCTCCATACCATACCTAGCTACCATAACCCTCTACCTGCTAGCATTTTTTTATAAAATCAGTTCCACTTTAAATCTGATATTAATAGTATATAAAAGGAAAACATGAACCATTGTTACAGAATGAGTGAACATTTGCTATAAATGTGTTTCATCTCAAAGGTTAATGCCACGTTTTACTACCTGACTAGTTCTATCTATCAACGCTGGACAAATATTTATTTTCATATAGTGATGTTTGAGCTTACTTTCTGTGTTGATGTTAATCTCCAGTTAGTAGAACGTACTGATAAGCATATGATGAAAAAGTGACATAATTTAAGATACTCATAACATTCACCATTGTTCAAGTAGAAGTCCCTGCATCTGTACAGAAATTGATATATTTACCATTTTTGTTACTTCATTGTGTGGTCTGTTATCGGCCATGCTGGACTAAAAAGCTCTAACTGACAATTAGTAGTTTTGTTCTGTTGAGATTCTGACAGGAAGTAAGCTGTACTTTTGGAACTACAGTATCACTCCCTTTAAAGGACCTACACTTTTTATATTCTATTCTGATAAAACTCCAGAAACCTATTCTTATTCATACATGCTGTCCAGTGGAAAGTCCTCTGCATATACAAGTTTAGAATTAATGTAAGCTGGGTCTTTGGTTGTTTTTTATGATGTACAATAAAGAATATTAAATGCTTTATGGCCATTCTCAGTTATCTTTTTACCTGTTATTGTATGAGTAACATTATCAAACTTAAAGCAGCATGCTGGACTTTAATGGTACCACAATGAGACATAATGAAATTCAAAGATTTTTATTACACATTGTTAAAACATTCCATTAAAAACACCACTTGTACTTATGTAATGTATATACGGACTGTACCTCTAGGGCTCTCTGAGGGCTAACTTCCATCTAACACTGGACCAGCTATATAATAAAAAATTTCACATTCAATATCATATTTAGTACACAATTGCTGGTACTTCCAGTAGGATGAGGACAACTCAACATGTTTTCCAAGACATTTTTTGCATGCTTCATCAGGAGACCCTCAGGAACTTAATTAAAAAAAAGCATCTACAAATAATCATAATTACAGCAACATGAGTGTGGGCATATCTGAGTATATATTATATACTGTATCTATTGATGAACTCTTAAGAACTGTACCTAATATGCATTAGACTGTGATCAACAAATACCCCAGATGTAATCATGGACCCTCATTTTGGTGGATGTAGGAGGAATAAAGAGGAACCAAAAATCCCCCACCAGCCTGTGGTACACCTATAAATATATCCTGTTATATAAATAAAGCCCAAATGTTTGTTATAGAAGGACCCCCTATAATATAGTTTTGCAATAGGGGAATAGGGCAGGGGAGAAGACATGGGAAACCAAGAAACTTCAACTTTGGTCACCTCAAGCAAAGATGGATCTGAGTAACCAGTGGCGGCCCTAGTGAACAACGGGCACTGGTGCAAGATTTTTTTTGGGCCCCCCGTACCCCCCCACCAAAAAAAACACGAGGCCCAGGGCTGCCCCGTGAAGTGCCTGCCGGCTTTTTTATTCTCGGCTCCCTCCTCAGTATCCGGTGGCCAGTGTCGGATCATCCGATACTCCCGGCGCAAAGATGGGGGGGCCCGCCGGCTGCCGGATACCAATGTGATCATCGGACACTCCCAGCGCAGAGATGGGGGGGCCCGCCGGATACCGATCTGGACACCAGCGGGCCCCCCATCTCTGCCCCGGGGCTGTGTTAGATCGGATACTGGGCCCCCCTTAAGGCACCGGCTGCACCAGCGGTAGGTCCGCCCCTGTGAGTAACATATACATTAAAACTCAAGAAAATAAATCAAAAACACTGTGCACACCAAATTAAATACCACAAAAAGCAGCTACCCGAAAATATCAGGAATAAATTATGTATACAAATACATCCAACAGCAAAAGAAAAAATATTACATAAACACAACATGATACAAAATTAAATGTAATACATCAGATAAAGTCCATGGGAGTCCATAAGTCAAAATCCACTGATAAACTCCAAAGGATGAAAGCCACATTAAGTGATCAAGAATCCTGTCTTAAGATATCCACATGCTGACCACACATAATCAGTGAGACCCTCAGTGAGACCAGCAGGAAAATAATTCACCACAAATATAGACCCCCAAATTATAGGTAGATCAGAAACCACTTCTCATAATGCTCCCTTGTTTGTACTGAATGCCAGTGACGTGACTCTTCTCATAAACATGTATCCAGCGCAATTTGAGGTTCCAGCGCAACCTCAAATAGAATACAAAGCACAAATCACATAGTATAATACCACTTTATTAAACCACAGACAAACAAACAAGTCCAGTGAACTCATGTTTAGCTAGCACATATTCCCTTGCTAAACGTGAACTTGCTGGATTTGTATGTATGTTTTTTCTTCCTTTTAATGGATAAGATGATGATGATAATAAATATACTGCTTATACACAGTATATCTATATATCTTCTGTAATATGAAAAAATGTGTAGTGAAATGTAAAAGTTCTTATATAGTCAATAAAGTTAGTTTGTATAACTTAGATGAGATGCCCTAACAGTTCTATATCTTCAGCTAAATACATGTTTTTATCTTTTTTCTTTCTTTACAGTCGGCAGAATTCTTTGAGATGCTGGAAAAAATGCAGGTAGGAGTGAGAACGACATGTGCAATAACTAGAGCCTTGAACAGCAGAATAATCTTTATATAAATTGTGCATCAAAGCAAATAAAAATCATCCTAGACCAGTTAATAATGTAAAAAAATTATAATGACAGCTAGTCATATACCCATTGGTACCTCGGTTCACAAACTTAATACGTTCCATGATTCTGGTCGCGAACCGAATCAAACTGTGATCAGACCGCAATCTCGACTAGAGGAAGCCACGACCATGTGTCAGAGCAGGGAAGATGGTTGCGGTTGTGTTCGTCACCCGATACGGAGTTCGCAAACGGAAGCAAAAGTTTGCCGAGCTTCCTGTTTGCGAACCGAATTGTTCACGTACAGAAAACCACTGTATTTGCATTGTTTTCCCACAATTGCTTGGAAATCAGAGTGGGAGGTTCTGTGCTGTCAGATAACCAGTAGGGTTTTTCACAAAAGGGTGAAGAGTTTGGAGAAGGCAGGATAAATGAACAATCTAATCCAAAATAGCTGATTTGGAAACATTCTCCAATTCAGCTCACTTTCCAGTTTAGCTATTTTTGCCTAGATTGTTGACTTCTCCTGCCTTCTCCAAACTCTTCACCCCTTTTTGAATAACCCTGTGGGTGTAATGCTTTACACTGTACCATCACCTGATTTATGGCCATACACTGGAAAAATTCCTTTTGAAAATATTTGTTTTCAGGATATTTGTTTGATTGTCTAATACTTAATGGGTCAAATCGGCTATCTTTTTAGATCGCAATGATGAAAAAAATCGAAGGAGCAGGATAGAAAATCTTCCTTGAAGGAACATAATTCTAACAGTGAATGTGGTTTTTGCTCAGGAAACTCCATTCATTCCAAAATTGAATGTTAAAATAAATTAATTTTCCAATGACATTCATCAAGTCTCTGATGGCATTACTGAAAGTTCTGACGAGATTTTTCGTATGAACAATTGTGCGGAAATTTACCAGCCATTCCGATTGGAAGAGGATGGTAAAGTGCTTTTATACTAAAAATCATGTTCGGTAGA